ACCTCCCCTGGGTGCAATTCGAGGCCATCACCTCTCACCCTCTCATTAAATGTCCAAATGTTCACTGTCCAATTTTTACTTTGTCCACAACTTTGAAAAGCTGCAGGTTAGGGATGATCTTGGTCTGAAATCACAGCATTTTCAATGTCTCTTCTGTACTGCAGCTGAAACAGTACCTTTGAATTTGGTGTGTTGAAGCGTACAACGGCAACATCTCCTTTGATATCATAGCTCACGTGGGTTCTAGCTGGAAACAAATGCAAACACGTTATCAGCTTATGTTCAATGGGTTTTAGGAAAGAAGATGAACTCACATAGAAAGTCTTCAAGCTTACCCTGAAGAGCAGTGGAGGTGGAGACATTACGGCAAGCATAGCCTAAAGAAAAGATGTTGCAGATGTTATATGAATGCTCAGTAATTTCAACTGCAGTGTCCCTTGTTAATGTATCCTCCTGTCTCCCCCTGTGCCAAGCAACATTACAGAAAATCCTGATCATCAGCTCCCTCTTCAAGGCTCTGTGCTACCAGCAGAGTTCAGCACACTCCATGCTATGGAAGTGACCTTCACACACATCTGCCACCCTGCAGCTTCCAATACAGGAATGCCAAGCTGAGGGCAACAACCAAATCCTCATTCCTCAAAAGCTGAGAAGAGACAGAGGCAGCACATGGGGGTATTTTGCCATCAGGGTGCACAGTTCAACACAGTAACCTTCAGATCTTGTTGCACTTTGGGGAGCTTGAAGCCTTCAAGTTACATTCTGCATAGATCAAATATTCCTGCAAAAATACACTTGTGCCTGTGACCTGTGCCAACACAAGCATTACCTCATAGACAGCAGGGAGTGCACCTGGTAAGCCAGAGCAAGAGCACCCAATGTTTATTCTCTCTTCCATTCTCTATCAACTAAATATCAATCAGATCTATCCCTACCAATTACACGAAGAAGCACCCAGACAAACTTGTTTTGTTCCAAAGCATTCCAGAAACTCAGACCATACAAACACCATAGAAACAAGTTCTGTCTGCAAGTGAAATCCCAAATCTCCTTTTTCTGCTGAGAAACTGTATTTTGTCCAACGACCTGTTGCTACACACATGAATCCCAGCTCTGTTCAAGTGACCTTGATCCTGACCAACAGGATCTTCTTCTACTGAATCACTGTCAAAGCTGCTTCTTACACCATAGTGTACACCTACCAATGGTAAACTTAGCGGGGGGAGGTATGTTGCTGATAGCATGTTCAAGAGGAAAACAATTCCTTTCCCAGCAATTAGGTAGAAAATTCAGCAGAGGAAAGCTTGCAATCCCTCCCTGCACTCCACAAGCAGGTGCTCTCCCCCCCCACACAGCCCCATGACACAGCTCAGGGCTGCAGCTCCCCTGCACTTTGACCCTCCTTCCACCCCTCCACAGTGCTGGCAGCAGGCTGTGACCTTTGTGCTCCATTCCTCAGGTCCTACACACACACAGGGCCGTGCTGCAGGATGGAAACTGTGCGTCGCTCTGCGCCCAAATGCCATCTTATAAACAACGAGTGAATGGATTTCCACTCCAAAGCTACTCTGAATTATTTGCAGGCCACAGCGTGGCCCAGGTTGCTATGGCTGTGGCCAAAGTCAACTCCCCTAAACTTTTAGCGAGCTGAAGACAGGTATTTCTGAAACTAAGCACACATTTGAGGACAGTTTGACAATAATCTCTTTGCTGAAAGATGCTCCTCAGCATCATACTCTGCACTTACAACTTAGCAGCATTTTAACCTGGCAAAAACAACATCAGTGTTCTGCCAAGAAGATTGGCACTGTCTGAGTTCTTTCACTTTAATCCTGCATTACTTCTAGACATATCAGGAAGGAGAATGAGATCAAACGAATCTCAGTTGCAAAGCAGATGATCATGTTCTCCCTCCACACCCGCAATCAGATTCTGGTAGAGCAGGGACAGCAACATCTCTCCCAGTGCTTACCAACAGCTTCCTCAACTGTACGACCCCAATCCAAAATAATAAGAAGAAAAACCTGAAAAAATGAATTAACCTTATCCTACAGCCAAACACGTTTTCCTCTTCCAAATTCCTTCACACAAAACAGACTGCTTCTGAGAAAAACTTAAACCCTGAATTCTACTTTGCTTTCAGGTTTAGCAAAACAAAAGATAGGAAGAGGGGGAAAAATAATCCAAGGTGAGGCTGAACAGATCTCACCATAATTTAAACACAAACTCCTAGAGGACTGCTAGTGTCGCAAGAGTAAAAACAGCTTAACAACCAAGTGAGGTTTCATCAGCCTGAGAGTCTTTTATTTTAGATCCCAGCACACTTGTGCTTTTAGTTTTGGATGTGGAAAATATTTTCCATGTTTATTTGGTCACAGTCACAGCACGTCTGCTTCAGGAATCAAATCATTCAGCAACAGTGCTGGTAACTTGCCAAGATCAGAGCCAGAAACCCCTCCTTTGTGATTCTGAAGGAAACAGCACAGCATCAGGCCAGATGCACACTTCTGCCATGTAACTAACAAGTCACTCCAGAATTAAAACTTTTGAATACAGACCAATTTTACCTACTTCATTCATTCCAACTGAAAGACTGTCTAGAGAAAGAATGCTTCATAAAAATCGCTCTCAGGACTCAGCACACAACTTCAGATGCAGCAGAGATTGGAAAACACCTCTTTCCTGACAGCTAGCCATGACCCATTTCCTCCCACTTTCTTTTCTACCGTTTCCCTGCTACTTCCCTACCCAGCACTTCCCCGTGCTCACCCAGAGATGGCAGACCACTCGAGCTGGGAACGGGATCCATAGGTGGCTGAGAAAAGGCTCCTTGTAGTCCTGAGCTAAGCTGAGCAAAGCAGACGAGCTGCAGCACTTCCAACCTCTCCTGTAAGCTGCAAGATGGGAAATGTCTGGCACACTGAGCCTCACTGTCCCCTCCGGGAAGCTGTCAGCACACGTAGCTGAGCAGGTAGGGCTTGCTCCTGAGCTTTTCTTTAGCCTACTTACTGCCTTTTGCATGCTTTCTGGCCTGCCCTAGCTAGGTTTGCATGCTGCTTGATAAATGCTTTGTTACAGCAGAACAACACTATTAATTATGATAAGCAACAGCAGCTCCAGGACTGTAATGAAGAACATTACTAGAAGAAACAAATCCACCAATGATGGCCCCAGAAACCTCTGGAGTTCCCACAGTTCTGCTTGTTATCAACTGCAGCACTCTGCTCCTGTAGCAACTGGGTCATGCACAAATTTGCTCCAACACCATATGAAGACAGGCATTAAGTTCCAGGAAACACCACTAGCTTCAGCTCCACATCCATAGAAGATTCTAAGGCCCTTCAGAGCACAAAAATTGGCTGCTTCCAACAGCCTGAGCTTTGTTCTCAGATCTCACTTGTGGACCTGGTGACTTCTCTCTTTGGAACTTCTATAGGGAAGCACTGCAAATCAGGTCAGGGAGCAAATGCATAAGGGAGAAATGCTTGCACACCAGAATTATGGCAGACTGTGGTGCACCAGAGGAACTCCCCAGCCACCTAGGGGCTCCTGGCACCTCCATGTGTGTGCAAGGTTTCCCCCAGGGGCATAGAAAGACTGAGGTGCTATGAGAGCAGCCCCAAGAGCCAGACAGATATCCAAGGACATGGGGATAGCCCTCATGCACACACGCAAGGAGACAAGGACAGCCTTGTCACTTCAGCATACTTGTCACTTCAGCATACACCATGGGACACCTCCAGAGCCACACAGACACTCCCCCAAATACACACATGTACAGAAGACATACAGAGAACAGCTGTCCTTTAGGGATACCACAGATCCCCAGGACATGGTGACACACTGATATCTCCCACTGTGGGGATGCAGAGGCCACAGGGGTGAGATCTTGGCATGGTATGGCAGCTCCCTCAAGGAGGCACACACCCAGGAGCCCTCCCCTCCCCACAAGGACCCCCTCACCACGTACCTCAGCAACTCCCATCCCCACGAGCCTCCACAGCGATACATACACAGAGCCACCCTACCCAGTAACTCCCTCACATGTCCCAGGAAGACTCCCATGTGACGACACACCACTTCACAGCCCCTTTACTCCCAATATACAAAGCCCTCACCAGTGGGAAAAGCAGACCTTACAGAATCACAGAATGGCCAGGGTTGGAAGGAACCTCAAGGATTGTGAAGCTCCAACCCCCCTGCCACACGCAGGGCCACCAACCTCCACATTTAATACCAGACCAGGCTGCTTAGGGCCCCATCCACCCTGGCCTTGAACACCTCCAGGGATGGACGGGGCATCCACAGCCTCTCTGTGCAGCCTGTTCCAGCACCTCACCACTCTCATAGTAAAGAACTTGCAACCTCCCTCCCCTCACAGATCCCTCTGGTGACCCCCACACAACGCCTTTTCCCCTCACAGCCCCCCTGCTGCCACCTCCACACACCAGCACACCTCCCTCCACCCCTCACAAACACCTCAGTTGCCACCTCCACACCACGCCCCCCTCACAGCGCCATCCCCACGGCCTTTTATCCCTCACAAACCCTCTTGCGAGGCCTCCACACTCCCCCCAACCCGACCCACCCGCCATTTCAGCACTGACCCCCCTCTTCACACACGGCTCCCTCCCCCCACGGCTCACCCTCAGTCGCCGGACGGCGGGGCGGGCAATACTTAGCGGCGGCCGCGAAGCGCCCCAAGCTGCCGATAGCGCGCACTGCGGCTGCCATCTTCGATGCGCGCGAGGTCGAATGAGGGAGAGGCCGCCAGCAGAGGGGGCTTCGCGCCGCGCTCGGGGCTGCCCACATTACTGCCTGTCTCCGAACACCGCCGCTTTTTGGTCCCTTCTCCCCTTCATGTTGCCCAAGGAGAGTCGGCAGCTGTCTGTGATAAATCAGAGATGACATCAGTGCTGCGGAGGAGGAGGATAAACCGGGGGTGTGTGTGATTTTTTGTCAGGCATATCGCGGGGCAGCCCTGGAGGCGGTGCGGGGGCCTTCCTGAGGGCAGCCGGCAGCGGCGGCAGTGAGAGGGCGGTGCGGGGGGAGCGCAGGCGGAGGTAGGAGAGCGTTGTGGGGTCGTGAGGGGAAATTGTTATTTATGGCGGGAAATAACGATTTACGATGAGAAATAAGGGCTAGTGTGGGTTAAAGGGTGTGGAATTTGGGGGAGGGTTGGGGTTGTTGGTCGCTGCGAGTGGGTATTGGGGGGTTTGTGTGTGGGTGAGGCCTAGGGGTGTGTGGGGTGTGAGCAGGGGATGTGTGAGGGGTGTGGAAGAAGTGTGTGGAAAAAGCGTGTGGGGTATGCTGTGTGTATATGGGGGGGTGAAGGGGCTGTTGTGTAGGCAGGGCAGGTGTTGTGGGTTCTGGGTCACTCTGTGTGTTGAGGTGTCTCTTTGGGTCCCTGAGGGTTTCTGGGAAAAAAAAATAAATGATGTTATGCTTTTAGGGGAGTGAAATCCACGAGGGCTGTGCTTGTGTGGTGGGGAGGGTGGCTGTGTGGGGTTGGGTATGTGGGAACTGCTGTGGGATACGGGCAGAGATGCAAAGGAGGAAGAAGGGAGGCAGAGAGGGATGATAGGGAAGGGAGGAGGTCTGGTTTGGGGGTCTTTATCTGTGTGAGGAGTCTGAAATTGGCTTGTGGCATGCCATTGTAGTCAGAAGGAGCTGTAGAATTGTTTGAGTTGGAAGGGGCCTTTCAAGGGGAGTGCTGTGTGGGATGTTGTTCTGCTTACTGTGGGGATACCCAATGAGAGTTATTGGGGTTAAAGTTAAAGGTAGTGGTGTGAAATTGTGCCAAGGAGAGTGCGTCAGGAGGATCACGCTGGTGGTGACGTTGGTTGGGCTCTGGGACAATATTCCAGGGGGGAAGTGGTGGAATAGTTATTTGAGGGGGGAATCTAAAACTGCCAGTTGCTGACAGATCAGAGCTGGGTCCTCCAGGAGATAAGTGTTTATTTACAGGGGTATTAGCAGGCTGCAGTCACAAGCCAGTCACTTCATCTGTTTGATGCTGTTCAAGAGGTGTAACAGAAAGTAATCTCTGTGACTGCTGTTCTTGGATCAGCTTCTGTTTCTTCCCTTTCTTTAGCTCTGTGCAAAGCAAGCAGATTATTTCCCTTGAAATTATTCCAAATAGATCAGAGTGGACTATTAGCAGTCTTTCTCCACCTCTAGATATCAAAATGACTTCTATGCTGACCCATACCATTCGAAACCTCCCTGCTTCCTCAGCATGGGCCGTCAGGGTCTGTAAGTATGTTTACATTTATTAAAACCTTGAATTGTTGGGTTGTAATGTTCTTTTTAAGTGTTAGCCTTTGAGTGGAAGCTTGTAGATGAATTTTTCTTCCATTGTCATCTGTTTCTTAAGCAACTAATTCCATTGTTGATGCATTTTTCCTTCCCACGTAAGTGAATGCTCTCATGCTAACCATTAATATGAGCTGTCGTTTTTATGAACAAAGTAACAAAGAATATCTTAGTGATATTTAGGTGCAGTTGTCTCACAATATTTTGAATTTTCTTACAGAAAGCAGAAATGTTTTTGACACTTAAGATTTGACTGATCCTTTTCTTTCTTTCTGTTTTGTTTTTCAGTTGCTCGATCTCTCAGCTGCTCTTCACAGTTACAAGCTCCAGGTAAAGTGAAAGCACTAGAGATCCCATTAGGTTTGTGCTAAAAGGGTGTGCTTCCCTTTTCCAGGCACACACCTTAGAAATGCAGTGCAGACAGCTGTAGTACCCTTCAAAAGTTGCAAAGAAGTAAAAGTCCAGGCAAAACACCATGGTGGAATGCCCCAAACACCTGAGTGCCATTCACTCCTGAAGGCTGTACCTGTTGCAGAGCTCACAGCGCATCTCACCAGATTTTTCTAGATTCTAATCTGAGGAGCTAAGCTAGAAAGTTATAAACTGGATATAATCAGATCTCTTTCCCTGGAGGAAAAGGAATTGTCCTTGACTAGGAGGAGATTGTGGAGTTAGCTCTGACGTCCAGTGAGACTCGGGTCTCAGCAGAGCTGCTGAGAGCACACAGTTACAGAGATAATTAGCTGTGGTTCTCACTGAGCAGTTGGGGTGCTGTGGGGCTGTAATATTGATTGTGTGCTTGCTCAAATGTCTTATGCTTTGAGCTGCCTGGATTTGAGAAAAGAACCAAGTGGTAGCTTCCTTTTACTTCCTTAGTTTTGCACAGAGAGCCTTTAACAAAAACCATGAACAGTGCTGGAGTTTCATACTTGTGTGTGTAGTCACTCAGCGTGCTATTTAGCCAGATTTAATCTGATTTTGTCCTTTAATGATTTGCAAGTGGAATTACCCCATGCTATTGTATATGCTTATTGTGATTTGCACATCTGAGTAGGTTAGGAAAATCTCACTGAACACTGTTAATTATCACTCCAAAAGAGCTCTGACAGTGGCCTGTTGAATGGTGCTGCATTATGGCACTACTTTATCTTGATCCTGAAATAATTGGATACCTTAAAGTAACAAGTTACCTGCAGCAACTGTCTGCACTCTTTTTTCCTGCTTTGCTATGGAAGTGCAAGTTAGTTATTGAATGTTGATTTATGAGTTATCTCACCTTTACTGTGCAATGAGATCACATACATAAGTAACTACTTTGAAAGGTGGATTGTTGTCTGCTGCTGCTTACTGGGAGACTGTGAGGTCTGACTCTGGCTGCAAGGCTTTCAATTTGCTCTGCTTCATTTCTACTGTAAGCTGTGCACCATTTTTAGATATATCTGTTCCTGCACTGCTCTTGCCAGTGTTAATGGAGACTAGGAGTTGCATGCATTTATTCTCAGAAGTGCTGTTGCCTCAGCACAGCTATCTATGAATCTCTGTACTGGTGAGGGAAATGCTGAGTTGTCAAACCATTTTTACAGATCACCTAATTAACCAGAGACAAGATTACAACATGGGTGTTCTTCCTGCAATGCTTTTGACTTATGCACCAAAAGAGAACATTTTCCCCAGTTTTCTCTTAGTTTTATCAGCTCTAAGCTTGTTAATAGTTAAATATGCTTCCCTTTTAGCTGTTCAGCCTAAGAGTAAGAAGACCTTAGCCAAAAGTGGTGTGAAGAATATTGTTGTGGTGGAAGGCGTCCGTATTCCATTCTTGCAGTCTGGCACCTCGTAAGTATAACATAAGAAAACACTCACTTCACTGGTACTGGAAAAGAATGGGCTTGCTTGTTCATCTTCATGTAGTTATTTCTTTAATGCCTGCAAGTGCTGAGCTGGCGATAAGTTAGATTGCTGGCAGCTATTCCATCTTCCTTTCTGAAAAAGTGTGATTTGAAGATTGCCCAGGGCTATGAATTCTACAGAGGAAAGCTTTGATGATGTAGCAGACAAAGCAATGCATCTCTCAAAACCAGCAGGACAGGCATAGAGAATCTGCTCTAGACTCCACAAATTCACAGTTAAATTTAGGAGCAGACTTAAGGGTGGCTGTGGGTATCTTTGTTCTGCTTTTCAGTGCGTGTAGCATAGTGATTCTGTGCTGAGCTATTCACAGTTAGTTTTCACAGCTAGTGGTGTGAAATGTTTCATAAACATACTGGAGCATTTCAGATCACCTATTCTGTGCAGCTGATGTGCGCTTACAGTGTTTGGATGAAGTCATTTTCTATGGTTTTCTGTCACTTAAATTTTTGCCTTTCTTTTTTTACTTCTAGATATGCAGATCTTATGCCTCATGACTTAGCCCGTGCAGCACTGCAGTAAGTAATCTGAATTTCCTTTTTATTTGGTGGCTTGTAGTGCATTTTATGTTTGAATCCCACTATTCTTAACCACTCCCTACAGTGGGATTTCCTGTGTTGGTATATTTGCCACAATGTTTGGACAAATTATGCAGTATGTTTTCCTAATGAACTGTGAAAATAGACTGCTAGTTTTCTATGTCTCTTTATGGGAGCTTTACATGTTCCTACACCAAAAGTAATTGGCTTTGTTATCTCTAAGGCATTCTTCCTTTAATTTGGATGTTGGAAATCTCAAATTGGGGAATGTGCTAACAACCATTTCTGGAGGGAAATAGGAAGTGGTTTTGTGAAGCTACGTCATAATTTAATGGCTGTTTACAGGGGTGGATAGTGATAGGACAAGGGGGAATGGTCTTAAACTGAGACAGGGGAGGTTTAGGTTGGATATTAGGAGGAAGTTTTTAGCGCAGAGGGTGGTGAGGCACTGGAACAGGTTGCCCAAGGAGGTTGTGGATGCCCCATCCCTGCAGGCATTCAAGGCCAGGCTGGATGTGGCTCTGGGCAGCCTGGTCTGCTGGTTGGCGACCCTGCACATAGCAGGGGGTTGGAACCAGATGAGCACTGTGCTCCTTTTCAACCCGGGCCATTCTATGATTCTATGACTATTTATAGTAGTGTTATTGCTATGGTTTTTTTGCAGTCTGTACTCAATTGCACTTGTCATTAAGTATACATACAAGCAAGATTTCTTACAAATTTGGCAGCAGATGTAGCTCCACTTTGGCCTTGTTCTCTAGGCAAGCTAATGGATAGAAGCTTGATGGTAGAAGCAAGGTCATTGCTTGTGTGCTGCAAATTCTACTTGTTTCTGTCTTCTCCTTAGGGGGTTGCTGAACAGGACCAGTGTCCCAGGGGATGTTGTTGATTACATTGTGTATGGCACAGTTATCCAGGAAGTGAAAACAAGCAATGTTGCCAGAGAGGTGGGTGATGTGCAGCTCATCTCCTTTAAGTCAGTTTTCAGCAGCTAGTAAGAAGATCATAAAGTCCTTATCAAAAAATTCTGGTACAGTGTATTTGGGAGTATAGGCTATTTGTGCAGTATTGTCTTATCCAATAACTGCATGGGAATCTGCCATAGATGAGATGCATTTTGATGCTGTGAAGCCTCTGCTTGATTATTCCCTGAAATAACCAATTGGACTCAATTACTGGCTTGTCAGAATTACTTGAGAGTAGCAAAGCATGCTGTGATAGACTGCTTTGTATTTGTTTCAGTTGGCTGATCAGATACAGCATTTAAATGAATTGAAATGGAGCAGCTTAGTTGCTCTTTTTCTGGCAAGCAAAAAATACAATTTGCATATTAGGCACAGAAAGAAATTGATCCACTGAAGGAACTTTATGGAGGTGGCATGTGATTTTCTGTTATTCTCTGCAACCAGGCTAAGCCATTACATAATACGTGCTGGAAACACTGAGGAGGTTTGAGGCTCTGGGTTCCACCAGCAGTTTTATCCTTGTATATGCAAATACTTGCTTTGGTCACCTGCCAGTCAGATGGGGTTGTGGTTTAATTTTAACTTGGAGCAACTGCTGAACTTTAAACTAGTTGGCCACGTGTCAACTAGGGAAGGTCACGATGTGAGCAATTCTGTGCTAGGAGGTTGGGTCAAATGAGACACAGCTTTCCAAACTGCAGGAAATGTTTTCTGTTCTGTTTAAAGCAACTCAGTGCCTTGTACTGAGGGTTCTAAATAATTCTTTTCACATGCCACGTTTGCAAATAATGTGAATAAAGGATGATGCTGCATATTTGAAAGCTCCTTTGAAATGGTGAATTGTGTGATTAGGTTGTTCCTCGGGGTTGTCTACATGGCTTGAGAGCCCTGCGAGGTGGGCAGCTGCCTTCTGTTCCCAGGGAGAGGTGGGAAGTGCTGCTGCAGTAATTGGCTGAGTAGAAACTCGATGTACTTGTCTGCTTAGTCTGCAAAGGTGTGTTACTGGGCAGAAGGCAGCTTTGTCCCTGTTGAGCAAAATGCCTATGTTTTAACAGTCATTCCTTGTTGCTCATAGGCTGCTTTGGGAGCTGGCTTCTCTGACAAGACTCCAGCCCATACAGTCACCATGGCTTGCATTTCTTCAAACCAGGCTATGACCACAGGTATGTTGGCTGGAGGAACAAGCTGTGGTTTGCAGCTGAGCTTAACAACTCCTCCATCCTTTGTCTGGCTTGTGCTGCTTAGTGACTATAACTAAGGATCTAAAGAAACTGTGGAGTGGAAGGAAAGATTTTGAGCAAACAAAATGGAACACAAACTGAGTATTCTGAGTAGGCCTGCCAGCAGCTTGACGCTGTTTATAATTCAGACATGGTGTCTCTCAGCATCCATGTTTGCCTGGAAGGAAAAGACAGGATCTTGATGAGGAATTTGCTGCCTTTCAGCTTGCTGTCAGCCTGGGCAGAATGGAAAACAAAGATTGAGTTAGTATCTTGATTTACTGGGGACACTCTTCTTCTAGCTGCTGTGTGGGGCAGAGAATTGAAAGCAAAGTATGTTTGTCCCATCATTTCATTAAGCACATACTGTATAATATGGCTGAAGCCAGTGGCTGGAGAAGGAAATAAAATATAATTGTGTAAGCACTGATGGGTAAGCATTACTTCTCCTGCAGCTCTCATGGGAACCTCTTGTCCTGCAGGCATAGGTCTCATTGCAGCTGGACAATGTGACGTCGTCGTAGCAGGAGGTGTGGAGCTGATGTCAGATGTTCCCATTCGTCACAGCAGGAAGATGAGGAAGACTATGCTCACCCTGAACCGAGCTAAGACCATAGGCCAAAAGCTTGCCCTGATTTCCAAAATTCGCCCTGACTACTTTGCTCCTGAGGTAATGTTTTCAGGCATGTAGATACTAAAACTAAACTGTTTTACAGGGAGGTATAACACAAAGTGGCTCAGGTATGTTTTTAGCTTCACTGGAGAGCATAAATAATAAGGGTTAAGGTGATTGCCTTTCAGTCTTCCTTATCAGCTCTCTGTACTGTGATTTGAGTTAAAAATAAGTTGATTAGTGCAGCTTATAGCACTCATGACTCTGCTTTGTTTTTACCTTGTCTCCTTATGTGTTGGTCTTCAGTAACCCAACTTATTTCAACATTTTGGACCTCCTCCTCTTTCTGCAGCTCCTAGCCGAGCTGTGTGCTGGAAGCTACAAAATGGAATTTATTCCATCAATGTAAAGATTATAAAATGGTTGTAAAGCATCAGAGGAGTTTTTATTTCCTAAATAAGACAAGTGACATGCACAGAAAAGGGAAATCCTTGGTATATTAATATGCTTACTGTTTGATTAATGCATCTTAAATATGTGTTATGCTTGCTGTTCCCAGCCAAATCTCACTGGGTGTATTCAGCTTCCCTAATGGGAATTAGTAGCCTGCTGGTTAATGGCAGGAGCCACTCTGGTAGCCCTCTGAACGAGGTGAATTAAGGCATGATAGAGACAAGAAGGAGAAGCAGTTCCTTCCACCACCTCTGAATTTGTCACAAGAAAACTGTATGTATCCCTGCTGCTGGCCACTTTTGGCTCGACTGCAGGGAAGTAGCAGTGATGAGATCCCAAGTCCAAAATGAAAACTGTGGACTTAAATCCATGCAGGGATTTCTTGTGTGCTTTTGGAAGAGTAAAAGCTGAGCTGAACTCACCCCACATCTCTGATTTTGCTTGTGGGAGTGTCTGGAGTTGAAACTTGTCCCAAAAAAGGGAGTCCTTGTTCATATATGTTTCATAAACTGCCTGTAACCACTGTGGGGGTGGCTGTGCTGTGTGCTGACTTTATTTATCTTGCTTTGTAGCTACCAGCTGTGGCAGAGTTCTCCACCAGTGAGACTATGGGGCACTCTGCCGACCGCTTGGCTGCTGCCTTTGCAATCTCCCGTGTGGAGCAAGATGAGTATGCCCTCCGTTCACACACACTGGCCAAGAAAGCCCAGGAAGAAGGCTTGCTCCTTGATGTGGTGCCCTTCAAAGTGCCAGGTGAAAGTGCACATATTGCTAGCATGCACTAGGTTTGGTAAAGAAATACTTCATTTAGAAGAGGAGATGAAGTCCTGAGGTTTGATTCTTTGCATTAAGTGTAGGCTTTGTATTTTAACTCTCTGGCAGCTTGGTCTGGTGGTTGGTGACCCTACACACAGCAAGGGGGTTGAAACTAGATGATCATTGTGGTCCTTTTCAGCCCAGGCCATTCTATCATTCTATGGTATGCCCTTTGTTGCCCTGTGGAAACCTACTGACTTAGGAGCATGTGTTTAAACATACATATCTAAACGTATAAACCTATCCTTACATGTCTAGATTTTGTAGTACGTACTTTGTATCCCTTGTAACATGATGATTGAGCAAGGAAAATCAGAACCAAACATTATACTCCAAGATAATAACAAATGGCCTAATAAAATGGTCTGATGAATCAGGGTTTGGTTAGGAAGGCCTGAAACTTAAACGCCTGGTTTCATAGAATAGAATTAGAGAATGGCTTGGGTTGGAAGGGACCTCATAGTTCACCTAGTTTCAGCTTGGTAGCATCCAGTTCACCAGGCCTTACAGTCATTGCTCAGGTGTGAAACAGTTTGAACACTTCTGTGGGGGGCACTTTTATTGTGGGGTTAATTTCCTAATGAGGCCTTACTTCTGCAGATCTGCAGTTATGTACAGTCTGTATGCTAAAATTGGTACTTGTTAGCTGGTGTGTTTAAGCAGTCAGTATTGTCACAGACGCATATCTCTCTAGGCTGGATGTGGCTCTGGGCAGCCTGGTCTGGTGGTTGGCAACCCTGCACATAGCAGGGGGTTGAAACTAGATGATCATTATGGTCCTTTTCAACCCAGGCCATTCTGTGATTCTATGATTTGATTATTTCCAGTGCTTTTACTTCCTTGAATCTTGACACATAAGCAGATACTGTTTTAGACTCAATTTTTCTCCAATTTAGGCATTGGAAGCTAAATTTGAAGTCTTTTATCAGCTGGATTTAGAGTATGCTGATTTTTTTTTTCTTACAGTGAAGAGTCTGCAGCACTTCCTTTAGAGAGGAAGTAAAGTAGCTTCAGTTTTAAGTATTATTTTTTCAGCCATGTTAAACATCCTGATACCACAGATTTTTCCCATTTTCTTCTTCCAACATGTCAAAAAAAAGCATATTTTTCTGTCTTTTTTTTTTCTGGAATCCTGATGTTCATATATGTTGCTTACTTAAATTTTTTCTTAAAAACCATCCACAGGCAAAGATACAGTTACCAAAGACAATGGAATCCGTCCATCCTCCCTGGAGCAGATGAGCAAACTGAAGCCAGCTTTTGTCAAGCCCTATGGAACTGTCACAGCTGCCAACTCGTCCTTCCTGGTAAGACTTGTGTGAGCCAGCAGGGGAAAGTGGTAGTCAAGAACTAAACCCTGAAATTTTGTCTGTTTTTACCTCTTTGCTTTGCTGTAGCCATCTCTTGAAAAGCACAGAGTTGGTTGTTCAAAGACATAGATAGAAGTTCTGTCTCTGATGGGACTGATTGCATTGTAAGTCTGGAAGTTAGTAGTCTTTTAGAGTAAACTTGTCACTTGAAGGCTTACCCTCCACAGAGAAAAGTATTTCTATAGCGCGTATATGGTGATGCTCTCTTCTGCATAACTCTTGATTTTCATAGGATCATGGAATGGCCTGTGTTGAAAAGGACCACAGTGATCATCTAGTTTCAACCCCTGCTATGTGCAGGGTTGCCAACCAGTAGACCAGGCTGCCCAGAGCCACATCCAGCCTGGCCTTGAATGCCTCCAGGGGTGGGGCATCCACAACCTCCTTGGGCAAAATTTTCTAACACTTTTTAAGAAAGTTCTTTTCAAAGAATCATAAAATCACTTGGTTGGCGAACACCTTCAAGAAAACATCAAATCCAACCATCAGCCATGCTGAAGTCCAAAGTAGTTCTTTAAATTAGGTGGGGTTTATCTGACTCCCAGTTCCTGAGATTTCGTAGGATTCAGTTAGGCAATGCAAACGATTGGGATGCAATAGCAAAACCAGCTCTAGAGATCTTGGAGTGCTATGGTAGAGCCTGGAAGCTCTGGTTGCATTTGGGTACTCCTCAAGAGCATTGTCAGGCTAGTTCTGTGTGGTGTGTGCTTGCTCTTGGGGCAGTGACTTTGTGTTTGTCTGCCTCTTGTAGACAGATGGTGCCTCAGCGATGCTGCTCATGTCTGAAGAGAAGGCTTTGTCACTAGGATACAAACCCAAGGCCTACCTAAGGTAAACAAGAGACTGAATGGGGTCTGAAGCCTGCTTTTGCTTTCTCCTCCTCTTTCTGTTACTAATAGCATTTGTTTTGTGCAGGGATTTTGTCTATGTGTCCCAGGATCCGAAGGACCAACTGCTACTGGGGTAGGTGGTGATGATGAAGAGCATCTCCTAACAGTTGATACTAGCACACCAGCATAAATGCTGTACTGTGCGTCCTAGGGAGAAGGAATGTTAGCTGGCTTGGAGAAATGGGAATAATCATGGGAAGAAACATATATGACTCCTGTTTCTTACCTCTTCTTCATCAGTCCAACATATGCTACTCCCAAAGTGTTAGAGAAGGCTGGTCTGACCATGGCTGATATCGACGTGTTTGAATTCCATGAAGCTTTTGCTGTAAGTGATGCTAGAACACCAAAGCTGCCTCTAAGTGTAAAATGTTTTGTGGCTGTGGGTAATCTCAGGACATCTTGGGTTTGTTACAACTATCTGCAGGCTTTACTTAACATCTGTTCTCTCCCTTTCAGGGGCAGATACTAGCTAACATGAAAGCTATGGATTCAGACTGGTTTGCACAAAACTACATGGGCAGGAAGTCAAAGGTAAGGACTCTGCCAGGATATTTTTATCTTTAATTTCTACTCGAAATTATTGGATTCCACATTGTGACTAGTGCTTCTGTCATGCTTCACGGGGAGAAGTCATAGAATCATGGAATCATAGGATGGCCTGGGTTGAAAAGGACCACAATAATCATCTAGTTTCAACCCCCTGCTATGTGCAGGGTTGCCAACCAGCAGACCAGGCTGCCCAGAGCCACATCCAGCCTGGCCTTGAATGCCTCCAGGGATGGGGCATCCACAACCTGCTTGGGCAACCCGTTCCAGTGTGTCTCCACCATCTGTGTGAAAAACTTCCTCCTAAGATCTCACCTAAACCTCCCCTGTCTCAGTTTAAAACCATCCCCCCTTGTCCTATCACTATCCACCCTCGTAAACAGCCATTCCTCCTCTTGTTTATATACTCCCTTCATAGAATCACAAAGTTGGAAACGACCTATAAGATCATCTAGTCCAAAGTATTCAAGTATTGGAGGGCCACAATGAGGTCTTCCCAGAGCATTTGCGTCATGATTCTTGAACTCTGGGTTAGCAAATCCCAATCTGAACAGCTTCTGTGGGAGTGGTGGCATTTGCCATGACAGCAAGAGGTGGAAACATAGACACACTGTAGTGACTGTTGGGAATTAAGGCAGTGGATGAGGTCAGTCCTTCCGGTTGCCTTCAAACAGCACAGGCTGCAGTGAAGCAGTAAAACCCTTTGGCACAGTTTTGTGCTGTCACCAAGCACTTGTGCACACTAAGAAACACTTAGCAAGCCCACGTGCTGCATTGTTTTGGTGAGGGCAGGCTGTCTCTTTACATGTGTGTCACTGTGTGTGTTCTTATAGGTTGGAGCCCCTCCCTTGGAGAAGTTCAACACCTGGGGTGGTTCCCTCTCTCTGGGACATCCATTCGGTGCCACTGGCTGCCGCCTGGCAATTACTGCTGCCCACAGGTTGAAGAAGGAGGGAGGGCAGTATGGCCTAATCGCTGCCTGTGCTGCAGGAGGACAGGTAATGATGCTGCACTTCTTTTGCTGTACACTCAGAACAAGGGTTGTGGTTACATGTGGACAGCTGTTCTGTTACCATCAGTGCTTTCTCTGACTTCTTTTTCTCTCTCCATTTCTAGGGGCATGCAATGTTGGTGGAGCTCTACCCTCAGTAGTGGGATGAGGGACTGCTGAAGGAGCATTCGTGTATCCTGTGCCTGGCAATGCCATTTCAATGCACTAATGAAAACATACATACAGTCCTTGGGAAGGACTTTTGGTGGCCTTTGTATATATCTTTTAGCTATTCTGCTGGTAATTGTCAGCTAACGAGCACACTCTTAAGAAATATTCCACTTCCAGGAGAATAAATGCTAATACATCTCTTAGTGTCTCCAGTGTCCTTGTAACCACACTAATCTCAACTGTAATTCTTCAGTAATTGAGATTTGGTTTAGGTTTTTTATTCCTGGAGAAAAAGAATGATTCCGAAGCGGAGTACAAAGAGTTTGGGGATGAGGAGATGCATAAAGTGCTGAATGTCAGCAGGCTGAGCTGAAAGTTAAGGTGCTGCTGTTCTCAGAAATGGTTTTAAACTCAAGTGACTGAGGTGGTTCGAAGGAAGAGGTTTACTGCGCAGGTCTGAACAGCATTGGAATGAGCAAATTGCTTCTAAGAAATGAGTGTCACTAATGTCTGCCTCAATAAACCAGAAAAACAGAAGTTTGGATTGCTCTTTTTTTCCTAAACTGTTTGCATGAAGAGTTTTTGTGGGGGTTGTGGTGGGGGTCTCTGCTCAGGTCTCTGCTTTCTGAAATGTGAGACAGCTTTCCTGAAACATGTCCAGAAATCATATTGAGCTCCAGGGCCCACGTGGATCATCAGAACAACCCCTGCTTGTGTATCTTGTGCACTCTGTGGCAGCCTACATACAACTCGTGTTCTGAAAATTCAGAAGTAGAGGCAGCCTAACACTTATGCAGAATCACTTTGGTGATAAACTTCAGTTGTTCAGACTGCGTAGTCTTTCTTCCAAGATTTTGGGAAGGAGAGATTTTGTGAAGGGTACTTTTGGTTAACGTTCTGGGTTGTTTTCCTTGCTCATTTTGTGTTATAAAATACAATATATAAAGGGGATGGCTTGGGTTACTCACCAGGCAGTACAGATTCATCCAAAACAAGTTGCAGAAACCTTTGGGTCCCGTGTATGAATGAAACCAATCCTGCAAGTCCCCTGTGGGCTGGCACAGCCTGTGATAACAGGTGGGTGGTGACTGTTTGTTCCTGGCTGTAAATCTTGTGCAATGCTGCTGCTCTGTGCTGAAGGGAGCACTGCACAGCAGCGTGGCTGGGGTTGGAAGTGAGAACATGGGGAGAAGCTCTTTGGTTTTGCGTTAGTACTTGGTGTTTCTTGGTCAAGCATGTACAGCAACAGAGCTGGTGCCCCAGCAGAGGGAAGTTCTGGTGGCACAGCAAGGCACCTTATGGGCAGGTGCCATGCTATGAGCCACATTCAGACCTCTCTGAGACTGAAAATCCATTCCTCTGCCCGTGTTTAGATAATGGGGCGAGTCCAAGTCATGGAACTCTATGAAGACTTCTCTTTGGAGTCTGGAGATGGGGAAGAAGATAGCTGGAAAGCAGGAGCTGATCCATGCTGGCCATTCCGTGCTTCCCTGCTGATTGTGGTAGGTCAGCTCTGCAATCCTGGGTGTTTCCATGCATGTAGGAGCATGTTCCCGTGGCTCTGGCATCATGCAAGTGCTAGAAGCTCTGCACCCACTTGGCTGCATGTGGCATTTTTCTTCCAGCAGCTGCAAATTGCATAACTGTGCCATCCTACTTTGCAGGGGGAGAACGAGCACGACCATCCCAGCACAAGCCTTGGGGGCTGTTGCAGGCAACGACTGGTTCCTACAAGCTAAGTGGGGCAGGGCTGCAGCCTTTGGGACATGACTCATCCCTATGGTTCATCCTGGTCTGGTGCCTGCTGCCTCTCCCCAGTGTTGGGGTGAGGCTGCTGTGTGCGTCCACACTGATCTGTGTGGGTACCTGAGGGCTTTTTGCTGTGATGCAGGCAGTGAAGGGCCTTTTCTACAACTGATGGGGACAGGAGATGGAGGAGTCTTTGCAGTGCTCCCTCACCTGCTCACAAATAAGGTTGGTGCCATGCTCTGTGCTCCTCTGACCCTAGGAAATCCTGCGCTTGGGGTTGGCTGGGGTCTCAACAACCTCTGAGCTGCATGGGGAGGATGCAGCCAGGCAAAGAGGAAGGGGGGATCACGATGTTAGCTCACAGAGCAGCCATGCCCCTGGCAGCCCCGTGGTGTGCCTGCAGAGGGAGTGCCCGGGCAAAGGTTCCTTTTGCTTTCCTGGTTTCAGTGCTGCGGGTCTGTGCTCTACCTGGGGGAGAGGTGTGAAGGGGAGTGTTGTGAGGAGGGGGATGGAGGAGGGATCCAGGTTGGGCTGGGAGCATTGGGGCATGCTGGTGCCCCTCATTATCCCCAGGTTTGTGGAGGGGGTGGGGAGCTGGGACTGATCTCAGATCCTGGGTGCTCTGGGATCTGCACCCTCATACCGAGCACCAAGACTACATCCCAGCTTTGGCCCAAGGGGGGGCACGAATCCAGTGGTCTGCACTGGGTGAGGGAGTTGGTGTTCGCTGCAGTTATCACAGCCTTGTTTGCAGGGAGCCCCTACACCTGACTGGATCCCCCCATGGAGCCCTGGGTACAGGATGGAGCCAAGGTGCTGCAGGAGGGATGTTTGCCCAACAAGGTGAGCAGAGGGTAGTAGCTGCAGCCCCCACAGTGGGTAAGTGGGGGACAATATGGGGATATGAATGCAGCCGCTGGCACAGGGATGGCAGAAGGTCCATGTTTCAGGATATGTGATTGCGGTACGGAGGGCCACCCTGGCCATTTAACTTCCATGGGGCTGGGAGGCAAAGGGACACCCACAGCTTACTCCTCTCCTCCTAACACAGGTGCCCCCAAGAGAATGGACTGTGCAGGAGGTGTGTGCATGGCTGAGTGCACGACACGGGGACCTGGCACCACTGGCATCTGAGCATGCGGTCACCGGACGAGCCCTGCTGCGCGTAACGGAGGGGACACTGCAACGCATGGGGGTGGCACCATGCAGCCGACGCTGGGAGCTGCTGCAGGAGCTGTTGGGCCTGCGTCTGCAGCAGGAGCTGAAGGAGCTGCTGTGCATCGTCGGGGGGGAGCAGCATCCACAGCACCATGGTGATGTCCCCACAGCTGGACCAATGTCACCTCCATCCCCAGAGTGAAGGCTGTGGGCAGGGAGGTGATGCCATGTGATGGAATTAAGTACATGATGTGGCAGCAGTGCTGGAGGGAGTCCTGAGGCCACAATGTCCCCAAAATATCCCAAACACAGCTGGCGATGTAGGGGTGCACATGGAGAAGGTTGCTGCTGGGTGACACCACTGGGTGCTCCTCCATCCTGCAGGGGGGAGCCTGGCGACAATAATGCAGTGGGACTGTCCCCATCCACCAGATCTTGCTGCAAGTCTGGGGCACAGCAACCCATATCATGGACCTCCCTTAGTTGAGTATTGTACATCACTTGGGGTTGGCAGAATGAGTAGGGCATAGGGCACAACTGTGGGCCTCAATAAACATGGTTGGGTCTGTAAAACTACTGAGTAATTGTGCCAGATTGATATGCCACCTCCTGGGCTGCACGTATAGTGCTATCCCTTATTTTGCCCTATTTCCCTATTTATTTTCCCATTTTGTTTTCCCCTATTTGCCAAGGGAAAGGAGACAGAGCAGTCTTAGTCCAAGATTGACTTGGGTGGGATGGCCGTGCTGTCGTTCAGCGAAATCTTACGAGGAGTGGCTGAGGGAGCTGGGATTGTTCAGTCTGGAGAAGAGGAGGCTCAGGGGAGACCTTATTGCTCTCTATAACTACCTGAAGGGAGGTTGTAGTGAGCTGGGGGTCAGCCTCTTCTCTCGTGTGACTAGTGATAGGAATAGAGGGAATGGCTTCAAGCTGTGCCAGGGAACGTTCAGGCTGGACATTAGGAAATACTACTTCTCTGAAAGGGTGGTCGGGCGCTGGAATGGGCTGCTCAGAGAGGTGGTGGAGTCACTGACCCTGGAGGTATTCAAGGAATGCTTGGATGTTGTGTTGAGGGACATGGTTTAACAAGAACCATTGGTGATGGGTGAATGGTTGGACTGGATGATCCTGTGGGTCTTTTCCAACCATGATTCCATGATTCTTTGATCTGGACAGGCTGAGAGTTGGGTGGAGAGGAGCCTGATGATGCTCAACATGAACAAGTGTGGAGTCCTACAGCAGGACTTTACCCAGGGGTGCATTGCACAGAGTGTGGACAGAAGGGCGATGGAGGTGATCCTCCCCTCTTCTCCGCCATGGAGAAGCCCCACACCTGGATGAAATATTCCATATGGGGCCTCACAAGGGTAAAGCAGAAAGGGACAATCCCTCACCCTGCTGGCAGCTCATCTTGTGATGGAGCCCAGGATAACATTGGCCTTTAGGGCTGCAAGCACACACTGCTGGCTTGTGTTCAGATCAGTGGTTGATCCTGTGATCAACCAGGACCCCTAAGTCCTTCTCAGCGGGGCCGCTCTAAAGGAGTTCTTCTCTCAGTATACACATCTGGGATTCCCTTGACCCAAGTGCACTTTGCTTTGCAGAACCTCATCAGGTTCACAAGGGCCCAACTTTTGAGTTTGTTAAGGTCCCTCTGGATGGCATCCCTTCCTTCTGCAGTATCAACTGCACCGCTCAGCTTGGTGTCATCAGCAAACTTGTTGAAGGTGCACTCCATCCCATCATCTATGTCACTGATGAAGGTGTTAGAGAGTACTGGTTCCAAGACCAACCTCTCATTGCTCATCACCGGCCTCCACCTGGACGTACAGCCTCTTCTGACCAGTTCCTTACGCACTAAATAGTCCACCCCTCAAATTCGTCTCTCTCCAATTTAGAGATAAGGATGTGGTGTGGGACCATGTCAAAGGCCTTGCAGAAGTCCAGGTAGAGACTCTGTGCCCCACAGTTGCAATAAAGAAAGAAATGAGGGTTTCAGGGTAGGAGGACCGTGCATATAGATTTTGTGGCAGTGGGCACAGAAAGTTTGACTACAAAGAAGGGGAATGCTGTCTGGGTGGAGTCCCACAGTTCCTTGGTGATGAGGGCCACAAGGTTGCTCGGAAGGCTGGAGCACGTCTCCTATGAGATAAGATAGGTTGAAAGTTGGCCTTGTTTGGTTCAGAAAAGAGAATGCTTCAGGGAAACTTCTTTGTGGCCTTCCAGTACCTAAGGTTGCCTATATGGAAGCACGGAAGGACGATTTGTCAGGGACTGTAATATGGAATGGTTTTAAACAATGAGGGGAGATTGAAATTTAGATTTAGAAATTACCAAGAAATTCTTTAGTCAGAGGGTGCTGAGGCCCTGGCACAGACTGCTCAAAGAAGCTCTGAGCGCCTCATCCCTGGAAGTGCTCAACACCAGGCTGGATGGGGCTTTGGTCAGCTTGACTTGATGGGAGGTGTTCCAGCCCATAGCAGGGATTAGGACAGGGTGGGTTTTAAGGTCCCTTCCTACTCTAACCATGGGAGGATTCTATAATAATTGTGGCTTAAGTGGAAAGAAAGCACGCAGAGACCAGTCCAGTTCAACTCTACCAGTTTATTAGCAAAGCCTGCAAAAGACTATAACAAATCACAAAGTCTCCAGGAGAATCAACTGTACTGCAGGAATTGTGCAGCAAACCCCACTGTCTGCTGTGCTGGTACAGGCAGAGCTGGTGAGATGTTCTCCAGACCAGCACCCAGTTCCCACCTGCCTTCACAACACAAATGCTGACATCACACACTGCTGATATCTACTGAGAAAGCTGCAGAGATAACTAATTCTCTATGTTGGTTATACAAGGGGCTTTTGCTCAGAATCTAAGCACATGCTAGATGTAGTTGGATTGGCTGCAAGATGAAGGGAAGTTCGCCAGGGGATCTGAGCAGGAGCTCATGGGACTGTGAGCACATCTTAACATATGAAGGGTACCTAATGAACATGCAATTAAATCACTATAACTGAGCTGAGTACTAAGTTCAGAAAGAAAGGGTTTTTAGCTCCCCACAAATATTTACCTGCTCTCAGACATCACTGTCCTTTCTTTATGTGTGACAAGGTTTCCTGCAGGGAAACTATTCTTTTGCCAGAGTCATTTATTTTCAAATAGCAGCAGATAATTTGGTACTTTCCAATGCTGCCTTAGTCTTTAACTTTATCTGTATGAATGGTTGCTGCAGAAATGTGTTCTTTTTTTGCTCTAAGACAAAGCTGATGCGGGCATTTATGGCAAGAAAGGAAGAGGAGTTTGACTTTATCATGAAGCAGGGGCATTTCTGAGGAGTGGCAGGAATAGCACACCTCATTTTGTCCAGCCCTACAAGAAGTTAGATGCAGTTCTTTTGAAATTGTTGAAGGCGGTAATTGTTACAACATGAGTTTGTGGAGAGCCTTAAGTCATGTTCCTCTGAAATGCAAAGCAGTTGTAGATTTTCCTGCATGTCAAATTAGCCTACCTCAGTTCATCAAGTGCTTGCTGCTTCGTAATTTTCTGCCATGAAGCAGGGATTTCTCCTTTGCCATGAAATTTACCTTCGTAGAATTCTTCTAGCTGTGCCCTGAAATGACACACAAACCATTTCCAGTACTTTTGCATGGATGTATCAGGAAGAATGTTCCAAGTGGAATAAGGACATCCTGCATCTCGGTATTTCTTGTATGGGATCCATGTGTCTTCACCAATCCTAAAGCTACAGTTGCTGGCAACAAGACTAGAGCAAATATCAATGACGAGGTTGTCTGTTTCATGCCATTTGTATCCACCCAAAACTTCTGGACGATGGAAGACAAGCTGGTGGTCTCCATCATGGTTTGGCATAGTGTTTGTGCAAACTGCCCCACAAAATGGACACTGCTCCTTGCACCCTGGAAAGTGTTCCAGCAGTATTGTGTGAGGCTGCTTTTCAAATGAGCTCAAATCAGCATGAGCAAACTCTTCCTTGAGACGATCTCTCAGGGGAGAAAGTGCCTCCGTCATGGCGTTATTCAGGAACTCTATGTCTGTTATCTCCAGATGTTCAATGCCAACCAGGTCACTCCTGGGCAATCTTAGGACCCCTCCAAGTTCTCTGCAGAATTCATCCAGCCAAAGAGAGATTATCTTATTTCTGTCTATTCTGTCTTTAACAACTGTGGTTGATGTAAACACAGCTTTCTGAATTTCTTCATAGTACTGGGAAAGAGTTTCATTTAAAAACATCACCAGTCGACTGTTCTGATCTAAACAGTATGTCTTCACACGTGTCTGAATGTAACTCTCCAAAAAGTCTGCTGGGGAACGAATGTACAGCTTGAATTTTTCAAAATTTTCTTCTTGTGCCAGGTATTTCAGTATGCAAACTTCCAGATTGGCTCTACTGCCATTGAAATCTGGTATTTCGCTCCTCATACGTTCAGCTATGACAAGAGCTGTCTTGTCATAGATGGCCAGGCGAAGACCTGGGTCGATCTTGCTGCACAGGAAATCAGCAAATGTTGTGATAGAAGTGGCACCTTGGCAAGAAATCTGGAAGCATGTGAAGAAATCTTCTCTCTTGCTTTGTAGGTAGATTACTGGGTCATTTGCTTTCCTAAAGGCTGTGTGCATGTCTTTAAACCTGGCTGCTGCCATTCTGCACAGATACACTGAAAGATCTATCTCGTAAGCTTTTGTAAAATGACATTTTTCCAAGCTAGGGAGAGCTTTCATACCTTCCTGTACTTCATTTAGTATTTCATGAATGAAAGTGTGACTGTAATCCATTTTGTCCTTTACCTTCTGGTCAATGTTTTCCTTCACACGCCTTATGATGCGGTCTGTAATGTGCTGTAAGGTGCTCACATCAGACTCACCAAAACTTAAAGGAATAAAGCCCAATACCTTTTTCCTGGATATGTGTTTCTTCTCATCAAGTGAAAAGGTGGTCAGCATGGAAAACTTCCCAATTCGTTCAGCTATATTAGAATCCTTAAAGTGTTCTAGAAGGACATTTTCTATTTCCACATCAATGTTCACCTCTTCCAGAGTGGGAGCATTAGAAGACACTTGAGTAATCCAGGTCATCCAGAGGGAATCAAAGTTCCTCCTCAATTCCCGTTCACTTAATTCCTGGCTTTTTAAAGACAAAGCCAGCTCCCTGCTCTTTTTCAGGAGCTCACTTTCATATTCAGATTTCCTCTCATCCAGTCTACTCTGGCTCTTCTTTACTTCTAGAAGCTTCTCACACTTCCTCTTGGTTTCATCAAGAAGGGATGCTTTTAGATCTTTCAGCTTCAGTTCCGTGCTACTTTTCCACTGAATCAGTATCTCACAGTCTCTGTCTTCACTGAAGAACTTCTCCACGTCTTTGGTGATGGCATCACTTGTTTCTTGCACCTGTTCTACAAGTTCTTTTGAGGTGATTTTCTCCAGCTCTCCATTCTGAACCTTATTTTTCAGTTGCATTTGCAATTTAAAGATGCATGTTCTCAGTTTCCAGGTCCACTGACTAAAGGAGGTTTCCAGTTTCTTGTACGCAGCAATCTCCAATGAGTTCCTGAAGCTGAAAATGAAGTTTTCATTCCGCAAGGCATTCCACAGGTCACTAATACGAACTTTCAAGCTGGAGAGCCTCAGAACACTGCCCGGAGATTCCTTCTTGGCAGCAAGGAGAATTTTGCTCTTTAATTGCTGGACGTTCTGGCTGTAGGTGGGGTTGGGTGGTGCCATTGGCGGGTTACCCTCCCACAGGTGAGCAAAGTAATGAATGTGGGTGTTCACGTCAAAGCGGATGACATCACTGAAGCAGGTGATGTCACAGAATTCCTGCTGGGCTGCTGTCACTGTCATTTCATCCAGCTTCTGCTGCAGACGCCTTTGTCCTTCCATGTTCTGTTCCTTCGCTGTTATTGCGCCCACATTTTGATGTACAAAGAGGCAGCTTGGGGAAAGCTTGACTTGCTTCATCCTCAGAAAAGCCTGCACTGCAATCTGAAGGATGTCTTGCATTTCGGAAGGGTTCTCCCCAAAGATGTTGATCAGAGTCATGTTGCCAATGCCAATGACAAAGGTGGCCAGCTCGTTGTCATGATTCAGGGAGTGCTTATTGGCTACCTCTATGGCACGAAGACCTTCCGTGTCCACAACCAGCATGTAATCAAAGTTCACATCCTGCTGCAGTTCCTCGTCCACTTTAACGAGCTGCATAAAAGCTCCCCGGGTGCATCTGCCGGCACTGACATTGAACTGGAGACCGAACATAGCATTCAGTAAGGTTGACTTCCCTGTGCTCTGGATGCCAAGCACGGAGAGGACAAAGACTCGCTTGTCACCTAACTTCTCAATTAACCTGTCAAAGATTGCTGCAACCCATTGTAAGGGTACGTAAGAAGCGTCACCATCCATCAGCTCAATGGGATGCCCTGAAACCATCAGATCAGCTGCAATTTCAGGTAGTTTGAGAATACATGCATCTTTGGAGCTCGTTGACTCAAGTGCTTCGTAAATCTGCCCTACCTCTCTCAAAATATGCTCAAGGCCAATGGATGAATCATTGATTTCATTGGAAAGGGAATCTAATGTTTCCGTCTTTACAGTTTTGGGATTGTTTTCTTCATTGCTTTTCTTTATTGCCAGGATTTGAGACCATAACTGATGATACGCTCTCTTCAGTTCATCAAGGCGCTCGGAGGACAGGTCGTCCATGAATATCTTCATCCACTGCAGGAAGAATTTCTTGGTGTTGACTGGCTGTGACTGGAGAAAGCCAAGGAATGATTTCATCAGCTGATTGAGGGGAAATGCTTTGTTCAGTTGCTTTTTTCTTATTTCAGATTTATAACGTTCAATTTGGCTCCTATGATGTTCTATGCTCTTGTTCCCCTTCTCCTGTAAGCGAGTGAGTTCTTTATCCTTTTTACACCAATTGTACCACAGTTCTCCTTGAAGAGGCAGTAGCTTTGATTTGATCTCAGAGAGATTCTCTTCCTTCAGCAGCTTCACCAGCTCGTTTGCCTTTTTTTTGGCTATCGCACATGCTTCTGCATCTTCATCAACCAGGAAGCCGTGCTGGCGAGCTGTGCCCAGACACATATCGAGGCTAGAGAGTGTGCTTGAGCCCTCCAGGAGATCTCGGATTCTTTTTGTCAGCTCGCCCATTAATTCTGCTTCGTTCCTGTTCTTGATACCTATTCTTATGTTCTGGCTAGATCGGCCAGCTGCAATGTTCTCTTTCTCAGTGAAAAGACAAACCAAGGGCCTCTGAGACTGCCACAGGTCCTGTAAAATTTTTCTGCCTTTCTTATCACTCTGATCAGACTCAGAAACGAGAACCACGTTCACAGCAGAGATCTCCTGCAAGAAGCTCAGCTGTGGCTCGTGATCCCTGGCATCTCCATGCAGGTTACAGAAAGCAACACAGCTGTCAAAACTGTCATCGTCGCTGCCACGGGGACAGTACCAGGAGATCTCCACCACACCTTTCATCAGCAAACAGTCTTTGGTGCTGCCTTTGCAATGCCGATGGAAAAACGTGTCGTGTTTCTGTTTGCTCAGCAGAGCGTTCAGGAGCTGAGACTTGGAAGAGGAAGGAGAGCTGCCGATGCGTATGAAGGACACGATGGGTGTCTCTGCCTGATAAATGAGTTTGTTTGTGTAGCTGCTCCTTTCTGTCTGCTCTCCTGATTTTGCTGTTCCTTTCCAGCTCTTTTTGATTTGGCTGAGGGACCAGAGAGGGAACTCGATCTGTGAAGTGCATGGGTTGGGGATCAGGAGGGGGAGTGCAAACTGGCAGAAGGCAAGCTTTGATGCAATGTACTGCCTCATGAAATCATTGGCACAATGAAAAATGGCCACCTGGAGGTCCATAGGGTGCACGTGGCTCTCCCTGGTTGCAGATTCAGGGGCTCCTTCATCCAAATCATTGAAAAAGTCATCAAAGGAATCAGAGGGCTCTTCCTCTGTGGCTTTGGGTGCAGGAGTGACTTCTGGCTTACTCTCGTCCTTGCAAGTCAGGTACCTCACGCTGTAGTCCACACACAATAGCTTTTGAAGGAAGTAAAATGGGAGTTCACTCTCCTTGCTGGGCTGGCTGTCACGTACAGATGTCTTGTGTATGACATGGAAGTCTTCCGACCCCATTTTTCTTGGATAGTATCTTTCTAGCCCAAGGCGCTTAAGTAAGTTGAGGAACTCTGGGTTTGCACTGGCTTGATTACTTTTGGATTGGCTGTCATCTGACTGGGGTTTGGATGGACTGCAAGGCGGTATTCCTTGCAAAGTCTCTTCCATGTCTTTGATTATGCTGTGTTTCTTCAGATCAACAGAGGTGTCCTCCAATTGCCCACTGATGTAGGATTGCAAGTCTCTTTCCAGCCCCTCCCAGTCTCTGAAGGCATTCTGTCTCTTGAGGAGATCTTCTATCTGTGCACACCATGAGTTCTTCATCTTCTCTTCCATGAACACTAAGCGGTCAGTCTTCTGCTCAGGGGACACCTCACTGCTTTCAGATGTTATGGTGAGGCCTGTGAAGAGCAGGAAGGCCTGGGCTCTGTAAACATCCTGCTCCTTCAGGCTCTGATACTCATCATATGCTGTTTGCATTTCCTTGGCCATGAAGTTAATTTCTGGACAACCAAGGAGGTACTGAAAAGTGCTGCTTTCTACTTGGTATCCTATCGTGGTTGTAACTAAGAGCACTAAGAGTTCTCTGTCTTTCTCTGCCCTTTCCTGCAGATACTGGAGCAAAGAATAAACAGCCAGGCTTATAGTCAGGGTGGTTTTGATCTTTGCTTCATGAATGGCAGATACAGAGGTGGCTGGGGAGTAGGTGACTTCCTGAATGTGCTCCTTCATTTGCTGCAGTGTCTTGATGAGATCCTGAATCTGAGAAATATTGGGAGTTTTGGGAAACGTGTGCTCAGTGTTGAAAATCCATTGCATAATGAAGGAAGCCTTAGGGAAGTCCTTAACAGAATAGATGTGAGGATGCAGCAGGCACTGCAGCAGAGATTTGATGTAGATGATGTTTTGTGGAGGCGATTTTTGGCAAAACAGAACAGTATTCACCAGGAACTCCTGCAATACCTTATGTGTCAGGCATACATTGATCCAGACACTGGGATTTTTTGTTTTTTCATTCAGAGCCTGTTTGAAATCAATCAGTGTGAGCCGTTTCCTTTCATCCCCAGTGATCTCCCAGGTCTGCATGTGCTCCAGAAATGCTCTGGCCTCTTCCACGGCACTGGCCAGTTCCTCTCCAAACACTGTGCCAACACTGTGATTCGTGAGTGCTTCATATGCAGCCCTGAGGCTGCAGCTCACTTGATAGCAGGATTTAAAATCACTGTTGTGATTGGACAGGATTATGTCCCACACTGGGATCAGCTGAAAGCCCCTGTCGATAACACACCAGGTTGTGTTACTGGCCACAAGCCCACATTTCCACTGGGCAAGGCAATCTGTCTCTGATGGACCCCCTGTGTTGGTCACAGAGAGCTGAATCGCTGTGTGGCTGCTGCCTCTATCGCTTCTCCCAAGTGATGCCTGTGAGCTGGATTTTGAAACTTCCACATTCATTCCCACACTGCTAGCAAAGATGCTGAAGCTTGCCCTGACAAAGCAGTTCAGTGCTTCAGATGTTTGTTGCTTCATCTCTTCCCTTTGCTCTTCCCTGAATCCTTCGGAAGATGCTTTCCACCAGAATATGCCCCCGAAGTGGAGGGGTCCCTGGTTGAGGTGGGACCCAAACCTGCTGAAGAAGCTGGCACACCTGCTCTTCAGCATGTTGAGCCTGTCTGCCTCCTGGGTGATGCTCAGAAGCTCCTCGATGTGTTGCAGCTCCCTCAGGGCCCCATCTGAGAGGCGAAGCTGGTCCTTTTGGAAGTAGCAGGAGGCCAGAGGGGTGTACTGGTACTTGGTGGTACAAATATATGTCTGCTCTGAATGTGAGTGGTGAGTGTCTTCCTTGCGTGAGGAGTTGCTGTAATCTTCACCTCCTTCAACACTGAACCCCCAGAACCCGGCTTTGGCAGAAACGCTTAGGCTGAAGCCCAGCTGCTCCATGGACTTGGTGAAATTGGCTTCTGCTGCCGAGGAGGAGAACTCCTTCTTCTCAAGAAGTGACCCTTGCTCCGGGCCAGCAAGCTTGAAACCCGTGGGGACTCTGATGAGCTGCTCTCGTTTTGCCAGCACATCTGCCAGGCTGTTGGTTTGGTAAATGCCCTGCAGAGCCAGGCCTCCTGATGCCCGTCTCAGGACCTCCTCATCAGAGACATTCTCACTCCTGCCCAAGGACATCTCCTGCTGCTCCAGTTGCTTCTGGATGCTTGCAAGCACATCTGCCAAGGCCTTCTCTGGTGGTGGCCAGTACTCCCTGGGAATGTCCATGGCTTGCCATAGTGCCTCCTCTTTCTGTGTTATCATCTCATTGCTTTGGATGTGGCTCTGATGCATATCTTTCAGCTCCTGAAGGGCTTGTTTAGTTTCTTCTTGCCTCTGCTTCATCATCTCCAGGCGCTGCTTCTGCAGCTCCTCAGCAGTTGCTTTGTTGTCTGTAATTTGAAGAAGCTTTCGGAGTGCCGTTTTCTCCCAGGGGTACCGTACCTCACTCTCCAGCTTCAGATAGTCTTCATATTGCAGATGTTTCAAAGCTTCTTTTGATTTCACACCTAATATCTTCAACAGCTTGGGGAGCCAGTATTCTTCATCCAGTCCTTCCCTCTGAAATGTTTCTGCCAGCAGTTGTTTAGCAAGATTTGCCTTTTCCAAATCCTCTGCCCTCTTCTCCTGGGACTCCATGGCTGTCGAAGAGGTAAACAGATTGCAGTTGAAGGCACATTAGAAGAGGCCACCACTTTTTCATAGAGGAGGCCTCTCAACAGCTCCAGGGATTCTTCCCACCTGGCTGCTGGAACCCATCATTGGACACCCCAGAAACAGACTGATATGGACAGACACACAAACACACTACAGACTTGGCTACATAACCAACCATGGACATGTTTGTCCACCAGACCGGTCTCACCCTCACCTGTCACTGGCTCTCCTTCCTTGCAGTGCACAGTCATGAGGTAGGGAGTGGGACTGCACAGGGACAGAAAGGAAAGGATTTAATAAGGAGGCAGACAGAATGCAGTGACCAAGGCTGGGCTTGCTCAGACAAGTGATCTGCCACTGCTCTCATGACAGCAGCCCCTTTCATCTCCTCTTCTGCCTATTCCTCAGTTTTGGTCCCCTTCAGCTTCCCCTCAACATCATTCCACAGGCTGTCCTCAAACACCTCAAAGTATTCTGTTCCCTCTGGTGAATTCAAGTTGTCCTTCTTCAGAGCAGGACCCAGAGTGTTCTATCCCACATGCAGTAGCAATTGGATACTTTGGATCATCAGCATTTGTGGGAATTCAAGATATAGAATATTCAGTGCAGAAGGCACAGAACAAGATTAACATCAAGAAGGTGGGAATGATGAGAACAAAGGACTCCTGCAGGAGACAGAAACAAGAGACAAGTGAGCCCTGGGATCGCAGCACTTTAACGATCCTGACTGGAGGAAGTTCTCGTGGCTAGGAATGACTCAGGACCATGACTGGATAAGCGCCTGCATGCATGGTTAAGGAGTAGACCTTGGGTGACTGTGTGGAATGTTTTGTTGACATGTAAAGGGGGTGGGAAAGTTACAAGAGAGAGCTTGGGAATGTAGATAAGAGATGTCAGAACCTGCAGTGAACGATTTGGATTGTTCCCACATCTGAGTCCATGACTCCAGATGCAGCAAATGGTGCCCAACGTGGGGTGGCCACCTCCAGCAGCGAGCACTTGATGACAGCCTGCAGCATGGTGACTGATGTGGAGATCATTCCACCCCACTGTGTCACACGGGTGGGCTGCAGGGAGCTCATCCACTCCTGGATCTTGCTGTACTTGATGGGCTCGTTCAATTTCAGCAGGTTGGGGTTGATGCTGTGGGTCGTGTGCATGTAGGCCTGCAGCAGCTGAATGTCACACTTCTGCTCCACTAGCTGATGCTCATGATCCACTGAGGTATTCTGCAGCTCAGCAATTCTGGCCTGGTGCTGCTGCATCTTAATAAGATAAGATCTTAAATGCCTGATGCAGCCGTAGTTTGGCAGCTTGGAACATGGCCACAGGGCATTGAGAAGATCCCTTACAATTGATAACTTGGGTCATGGATATGCTTGTGTTCCCACAGGGACTGGCCCTATGGGAGTTCCGGCATGATGTTCAGCCTCATCTCAAGGCAGAGAATAGCATACAGCCCTCATAATGACTGAGATTGTGTGTTACTTCTTTATTGGTATTGTTTGGTAATTTGTTATACGGCAGATAACTCATGGGTGCCACAGTGAGTGGCACAAAACGGCTGGATTACCCACTGGATGGTATCACAATAGTAACATGCTTAATGGTATGTGTTGGGTGATTTTCCTATGTTGCCAAAGCAGCCTCAAGAATTAGAATTATTAGGCACTACCTAGGCTGCTGTGTGCTTCTTCCTCACTTTTAGTAGGGGATAAAATGTTAATTGAACAGAATCCGATGTTTCTGATGCTGGAATCTATGGGAATTGCTCTTTTAGTGTAATTTCATCATCCCATTATCAGTAACGCCTGGTCATGATGCACCTAGCTTACCAATTAACATTTTCTTAATTTGTGGAGGCAGAACCTGGAAAGGAATCCCAGGCAAAGCTAACAGAGGACCCGGTACTATAGGTCAATTAACTCTCTTTCATCCCACTACTCAGGATTTAAAAATATGACCATGCATCACTCGAGACGCACGCTATCTTACTTTGATTGCAATATAGAATTGTGGGATACTGCACAACAAATATTTTGGTTCACTGCTCCCTTCAATTGACACCTCTGTCAGGGACCTAATGGCTCTTGACTTAAGAATGATCCTGGCATGGAACAAGTATTCTGACAGTTTTAAGAGAATTGATATTTGTGGTTGTAGCTGCAAATATCTTGTTCTGTAGAGAGTGCTGACCTTGGTAGTTTATTTCGTTTCTGCAAAGGCTACTTCTGCAAGCAGGTGTTTCACTTGGGCTCTGAATCATGCACTGGCCATGTGGATACAGCGTGCAAATGGAGAAAGCCTGGGGAGACCCTGGGGAGAATAAAAGCAGGAGAGAGGCTGTGGTGGGAGAGAGAGGAAAAGTGCCCCTTGAAGCAGGGGACGCCCTGCTGGCACTGCCTATCACATCCACTGCCAGCACGTGCCTTCTCTCTCCTTTCTGGGGGTTTGCCATCTCTCAAGGGTTGCTAAGTTATAGTGCACCTGCTTAGGGAGTTTCTGCTTCCTGCTTACAGGGATTATCTAAAGTGGATGCCTGTGTGTGTAAGTGTGTGCATGCTGAATAAAACTCATAAGTCTCTGTGCTGCTGAGTGCATAGTTTGCTTGCCATTGCTCCTGAGACATCCTGTCTCTCACATCCAAATGCACCCTGAAACAGCACAGCTGAAGCTTCAGCCACACTCACCGAGTTAGGATGCTGGCTGGCTAAGGAAAGTAATGCCCCTAATGATGCTCTAGAAGGCTTGCCCACTGATGTTTCTATGTAACATGCAACTTCACAAAACTGTGAGGCCATTGATTTTCTACTATTAAATCAGGGGCATAGTTGTGGGGATTTTAAAAGCATGTGTTGCTATAATCTTAGTGAACATTCAAAAATCAGTACATCAGAGTACACGAATGTTGATGAATTCCCCTAGTCAGTTACAGCTATATACAGAATGGGACCCTCTGGGATTCTCTTCCAGGTTGCAGGGATGGACTGTTGGATTGTTCAGACTGGAGAAAAGGAGGCTCAGGGGAGACCTTATTGCTCTCTATAACTACCTGAAGGGAGGTTGTAGCGAGCTGGGGGTCGGCCTCTTCTCTCGTGTAACTGGTGATAGTACTAGAGGGAATGGTTTCAAGCTGCGCCAGGGAAGATTCAGGCTGGATATTAGGAAATACTACTTCTCTGAAAGAGTGGTCAGGCACTGGAATGGGCTGCCCAGGGAGGTGGTGGAGTCACCGACCCTGGAGGTGTTCAAGGAACGATTGGATGTTGTGTTGAGGGATATAGTTTAGCGAGAACCATGGGTGATAGGTGGATGGTTGGACTGGATGATCTTATAGGTCTTTTCCAACCTTAGTGATTCTGTGATTCTGTGATTCTGTGACTGGGGCAGGGGGGTGTTGGGGATGCTGCTGGTCTAGGGGAACCTAGATCATCTGTAAAGGCGGTGAGATGGAAAGCCGAGCTGAAGTGCCTTTATACCAATGCACGCAGCCTGGGAAACAAGCAGGATGAGTTGGAAACCGTGGTGTGCTTAGAAAGTTACGGCCTTGTTGCTATCACGGAAATGTGGTGGGATGATTCCCATAACTGGAATACCACCATTGAGGGCTATCAGCTCTTTAGAAGAGATAGGCTAGGTATGAAGGGTGGGGGAGTAGCCCTCTATCTCAAAGAGTGGATAGACTGTGAGGAGCTTCCCCTGAGACATAGTCATGATCAGGTTGAGAGCCTGTGGGTTAGAATTAGGGATGGGTCTAACAAAGGCCAGTTGGTGATAGGAGTATACTACAGGCCACTTGATCAAGGGGAGACTGTTGATGAGGCTTTCTTGCTTCAGATGAGGGAGGCTTCGTGCTCACGGGCTCTTGTCCTGATGGGGGACTTCAACCATCCGGATATCTCCTGGCTAGACCACACGGTGAGTTGCAAGAGGTCCAGGAGGCTCCTAGAATGTGCTGATGATAACTTTCTTGTCCAGGTGTTGGACAGACCGACCACAGGTGAAGCATTGCTGGACCTGCTGCTCATCAATGCGGAGGAAATAATTAATGGTGTTAAGGTTGGAGGCAGCCTGGGTTGCAGTGACCACGCTCTGGTCGAGTTTGTGATGTGGGTCTGGTGAAGAGTGGCATCAGGACCCTGAACTTTGGAAGAGCAAACTTTAAGCTGTTCAGTGGACTGTTAGCCAAGATCCCCTGGGATGCTTTCTTTAAAAACAAAAATGCTGAGGAGAGCTGATTACTCTTCAAGGATGCCTTCCTAAGAGTGCAAGAACTCTCCCATCCATCTGAACAAGAAAGCGGGCAGAGGAGGGAGGAAGCCGGCGTGGCTTGGTAAGGACCTGCTGAGAGTGCTGAGGGTGAAGAAAGGTGCGTACAAACTCTGGAAAGAAGGGCGTGCCACCTGGGAAGAATACAGGGATGTCATCCGGACTTGCAGATGTGGGATCAGGAAAGCCAAGGCGCAGGTGGAACTGAACTTGGTGAGGGACGTGAAAAGCAACAGGAAGACTTTCTACAGGTACATTGGCCAGAAGAGACAGGCCAAAGCGAGTGTACCTCCTTTGGTAAATGTAAAAGGAGAACTGGCTTCAGCGGACGGAGAGAAGGCTGAGGTACTGAATGAGTTCTTTGCCTCGGTCTTCACTGGCATCCAGGACTCCAGTACTTCTCCTGTCCCTGAACCCTGCATCCCTACACCTCTGTGTGGGGACTGGGGTGGTAAATCCCCTCCCACTGTGAGGACAGAGCAGGTCCGAGACCGCCTCATGAGACTGAATGTGTACAAGTCTATGGGGCCAGATAGCGCGCATGCCAGGGTTCTGAAGGAGCTGGCTGAGGTGGTTGCCGAGCCACTCGCCATCATATTTGAAAAGTTGTGGCTGTCAGGTGAGGTCCCGGATGACTGGAGGAAGGGTCACGTCACTCCCAGAAAGGGAGCAAGGAGGACCCGGGGAACTACAGGCCGGTGAGTCTCACCTCTGTGCCTGGGAAGATGATGGAACAGATCATCCTGGACGACATGCTTGATCACATGAGGAAAGGGCGTGTGATCCGTGACAGCCAGCACGGCTTCACCAGAGGAAGGTCATGCTTGACCAATCTGATGGCCTTTTATGATGGAGTGACGGCATCGGTGGACAAGGGAAAGGCGACCGATGTAATTTACCTGGACTTGAGGAAGGCCTTTGACGCGGTCCTCCACCACATCCTTATCTCCAAACTGGAGGGATGTGGATTTGATGGGTGGACCACTCGATGGATAAGAAACTGGTTGAAAAGCCGCAGACAGAGGGTGGTCATCAATGGCTCCATGTCCAGGTAGAGGCCAGTAACGAGCGGTGTCCCCCAGGGGTCTGTCTTGGGACCTGTGCTCTTTAACAGCTTTATTAATGACATTGATGATGGAATTGAGTGCACCCTCAGCAAGTTTGCTGACGACACCAAGCTGAGAGAGGGCGGTGAGGGACTGGAACAGCTGCCCAGAGAGGTTGTGGAGGCCCCATCCCTGGAAGTGTTCAAGGCCAGATTGGATGGGGCCCGGGGCAGCCTGGTCTAGCATTGGGTGGGAAGGTTGGTGGCCCTGCATGTGGCAAGGGGGTTGGAGATTCATGATCCTTGAGGTCCCTTCGAACCCTGGCAATTCTGTGATTCTGTAAGTTTGGGCCACAGGCCAAACATGTTCATTCCTTTCTGAATGGGTCTAATAATAGTTCTTGCCACTGTGCTATGTTCACCTCGTCTCTTGCTTTCAGCATGTTGTCACCTGAAGCCTTGATCGAGTTATGATAACCCAAATGCATACAGCAGTGCCGTTACAAAGCGTAACACAAAATGGAGGAGAAAGCTCTCAGTCAGGCAGGGGGGATGCGGCGTACAAGGTATGAGTATGTTATGGTGACTAGTGCCATTGTTTTGTATCATGCTGACAGCTTGCCAGTTGATGTCCCTCTGGGGTTTAGTTTACCACTGCCCCCGTTACTTATCACTGCCTTGGCACTGGAACGGTCCTTGATGGGATAATGGTAAGGAAGCCAATGCTCTCACTGTCTACATACCCTTACCGTGCTGTCATACCGAGCTGACAGTCATCTCTGTCTCTATTCAGGTGGACAGATTTATTCAGTGCACAAAACCTTCCTGTGCAATCAGCTCTCATCTCACCAACATGCTACAGCCTTTCCATCTCAGGAATTGATGCCGGGCCCTTGTTACTGTGCTTTTTTGACTCACGCAGAGCCTTTATGCCCTCTTTTCCTTTATGCTCGGGGAAGATTTAAAGAAAAAGACCAAATGGATTTGCAGTCTGAGTCCTCTCACCTCCCAGCAGGTGCTCCTGGTGGTGACGCTCAGCTTTCCAGCGGACGCAGGGCACCAGGGCACGCGGCCCAAGCGAGGCAGCACACAGTCACTTGTCAGGCCTGGTAGCCAAGGCAGGGTTGTGAAGAAGCGTTTGGGGACCGAATTCAGGAGGAACAACACAAGGAAAGGCCCAGAATCCCGAAGGAGAAAAACAGACACTCAGCAGAGGGCAGCTGTGAATGCGAGAGATTCATTCCAGGCAGCAGTGAAGGCCAGACCTTCTCCTGCCCCAGTGGGACCTGCCCAGGGCCTCGGTGGAGCACCCTGAGGGAGCTGTAGAAACAGAAGTAGCTCTGGGGTGGCGTTGCAGGAGCATCGTGTCCAGAGGATGGAGGCCTGCTGGGGTAAGGGCGGACCAGAGGGGCCCAGGAGTACTGCAACCGTCCTAAGGTTCTGTGGGGGCTCTGTGCTGGGCTCTGCTCCACAGCCCACCCCTCCCCCAGCTCTGCCTTGGGGCTCTGCGCTCCACTCCACCCTTGCACTGCCTTTCCCCTCCCCATATCATTTGGGTTTCCATCCCTGCTGTGTGCAGCCCCTGATCTGGGTGCTGAGTTCTTTGTGCTTCTCTTCCCTGCTGCTCCCTGCCCCCAAGTGCTGCCATTGCCAGCACAGCCCCCACAGCACAGCCCTTGTTACCACCCTCTGGTAACAGAGGTGAAAAATTTCCTCCTAAACCTCCCCTGTCTCAGTTTGAAACCATTCCCCCTTGTCCTATCACTATCCATCCTCGTAAAGAGCTGATCCCTGTTCTGTTTGTATGCTCCCTTCAAGTACATGAAGGCCACAATGAGGTCTCCCTGAAGCCTTCTCTTCTCCAAGCTAAACAAGCCCAGTTCCCTCAACCTTTTCTCACAGGAGAGCTGCTCCAGCCCTCCGATCATCTTAGTGCCCTCCTCTGGACCCACTCCAAGAGCTCCACGTCCTTCCTGTACTGGGGGCCCCAGGCCTGGACGCAGTGCTGCAGATGGGGCCTCACAAGAGCCGAGTAGAGGGGGACAATCACCTCCCTCTTCCCACTGGCCACCCTTTATTTAATGCAGCCCAGAACACAGTTGGCCTTCTGGGCTGCAAGCACACTCTGCTGGCTCATGTTCGGCTTCCCATCCACCAGGACCCCCAAGTCCTTCTCTGTGAGGCTGATCTCCAGGAGATCTTCCCCCAGTTTGTATAAATACCTGGGATTGCCCTGACCCAAGTGCAGCACCCTGCGCTTGGCTTTGTTGAACCTCACTAGGGCTCTAATGGGCCCACTTCTCCAGCCTGCCCAGGTTCCTCTGGATGGCATTCCATCCTATCCCCATTCTGTATTGATGGAATTCACCTGTACAGGTGAAAGAACCTGTAACCCTATTCCAGAGGTGTGCGTGGAGCAAGGGCTGGGAGAGCAGAGGGCAGGACGCTGTTTGCTGACTCTGACATCAGGTGGCGCCTGAGGTCACAGCCCCAAACCTGCATCCTCCCCATTGCCAATTAGTGCCAAGGCCGGGGGTGGCACTGATATCAGGGAGTGAGCTTGGGGAGCATTCCGGTAGGTCTGCATCCCCTGTTTATTGGCTGCCAGGCAAAGGGAGGTGAGCCAGCCCCCTCTCCTTTAGCTACCACTTGTTCACTTCTAGATGCTTTCCTTCATGAGGAGCCCCCTCAGCTTCCATCAGCTCCTGCTACAGATCAAGTGCAGCGTAGGGGTGCTGGGTCAGCAGGAGCTGCCCCTTCTTCCTTCCTGCTTTTCCTCCTGTGCTTTTGGCTGCTTCTTCAACACATCAGCAGTGCTGCTGGTCAGTGCTGAGGAGCTCAGCTCAGTGGCCGGTCCTGCCACTGGGCGCCGCAATGTTCCCACCCACTCTCCAAAATCTCCACAGGAGACTTTTCCCCACTTTCCACAGAGGGTTCATCTTCTCATGGTGGAGGAAACTCAGCAAGCCAGTCTTTGTCCATTCATAGAGCTAATGATCAGTGGAGGCTGGAGCACATTCAAGTGGGGAGCAGAAGGAGTAGGAAGCAGAAAGCAGCACAATGTAGGGGAAGAGTTAAAGGCTCAGGAAGGAAATACATCCATCTATGAGGAATCCCACCAAGAGCAAAGGTAACAAGGAGGGACATGTCCATGGCATGTTGCACAGACACAGTTGCCAACAATTGTCCAAAAGGGTTTCACAACTTGACACGCAGTCAGTATCACTGCATGGAGCCCTTAGCACAGAAATGAGTACAGCACGCCAGCATGAAGAGTGAGGCCTTAAGGCTGTAGGGCTCTGCGTTGGGCTCTGCTCCACAACACCCCAGACTCTGCATAAGGGCTCTGCTCCCGCTTCACCCTTGCACTACCTTTCCTCTCCCCACACCACTTACACTTCCATTCCACAGTCATGTTCAGCCCCTGATCTGGGTGCTGAGTTATTCATGCTTCCTTATCCCATGCCTCCCTGCTCTACAGGGCTGTCATTGCCATCACAGCCCCCACAGCACAGCCCCTTTGCCCCCTCCCACAACCTCCTCTTTACTGCTGGCCTTCTCAGAGTAGCACCAGAACATGAAGCACCAAGCAGAGGAC